TGGTCCTGACTGAGGCCAGATCATGTAAAAGGCCAATAAAGTATAAAGGTTTAGGATCAAAAAGAAAAAAACCTACGTTAAGATCACAGTGGTTGTTGATTCACCCTAATTATTGTTTCTTTTGCTGTGCAGAAGCTTTTTATCCTGATGTAATCCTACTTGTCTATTTTCATGATTATGCCCTGTGCATTGGGGATCTTATTTAAGAAGTCTTTGCCTCTTCTGACGTCTCCAATAATTTTTCTGGTGTTTTCAACCAGAACTTTTATAGTTTGAAGGTTTATATCTTTGATCCATTTGTAGTTAATTTTATACAGTGAATTAATGTAAAAAATACATTTAAAATAAGAGTGTGGATTTGGGACTTTTGAAAGGATACACTCTATATATTTTCTCATTCCCTATGTTGTAACTATTTTTAACAAAGGGTACTACTTTTATATATGGAATTTGAAGAAAATTAGGTTTATTTATACTGTTTTGTATAAGATATATAGTACTTTTGACAGGAAAAATAAAAATTTTGATGAAACAATAATATAGATAGATAGATCACAGTGGTTCCTAGTCTCTGAGATTTCAGTATGCCTGGCTGGGTCTACAGAAATTTTTACTACCAGGAAATATTGGTAGATATCACAACCAGGGAGCCATTCGGATCTTCTGTATACACAAAGAACTGCATAGTTTGAGTCTATTAAAACCAAGGTTACCCTTTGTCCCATTTTTGCTTTAGGCAATCCTAGCTTACTTCTGTGGCCTGGGAGTAAATGGTTAATAAGCACCTCCTTTTACTCTCGAAAGGATGATAAATAGTATAGTCCCCTAATGGCCTATTTATCCTGATTAAATAAATTATGCTTATTTAATTAAGTGGTGTTTAGACATAAGAGAATATATTGAAGAGCATTAAGTGAAATAGCTCAGTGTAATTCATTAAAGCATTTGTTAAAGGTACTGTCCATTATATTATTACTGCTCTCCTTTTTTAAAGAACTATTTAATTTATTTAATTTATTTATTCATTCATTTATGTTAATTTGACCAGAGAGAGACACACAGAGAAAGAAAGAGAGGAAAAGTGAGAAAGCAAGACACCAGGTCCGGGATTCAAACCATGGTCGCTGCATGGGAGTGTCCAGCACCTTAACCACCACGCCACCTACTGATCCCACTGCTCTCCTTTTTGATAACTCATGATATACATTTCTCTTGGTATCAGCTGCAGTATAACTGTCCTTCTCTTGAGTACACTGTATATTTTTGTCTCCTGAAGCCCAAATTGTGGAACTGATCTACTTTACTAGATTCTGGAAGCAAATGTGATTCACCCTGCATCTAATCACGGCCTTAAAGTTCTGGTAGATGAGTGATTAGTTTACCATTTAGTCTCTCCTTCATACTGCAAATATTTATTTGTCATAATTTCAGCTTAAAAACAGAAGGATCATTCCAATCACCTACCATTGAACAATAGCAGATTTGCTCTCCAAAAGGTGCAAGTTACAACAGCAAGGTAAGAGGTACCAACTGCATAGGTGACATCTGTGAGGTGACTTCTTCAAACACAGCCTATGTCTTACCTTTGCTGTATCTATGACACATAACCAGAGTTGAGCTAAGAAAGGAAAGCAAAGGTTTATGTTCTAATGAGTTGACTTGAGGAAATGATTCCTGTAATTAGTAATTCCCATCAGTTTTATAGATATATTCTGTAGCTATAGAAAGCTGTCACTCCAAATGGCAGTTGATGACTTTGTTTCTGATTAAACTAAGGAGAACGTATAGTTCTTCCTCCAATTGCTAGGTGGTGGAGGCAACTGCAGTGTAGCAGGCCTAGAATTGACAGTGGTCACTCGCAACACTGATTAGCAAAAAGTAGGGACTTATGACTGGCTCCACAGTGAAGTGGTTAAGGAAGTAGGATCCCACATGGCCAACAGTGTGGTTCAAGTACCCATCCTGGAGACTTGAAAAACACATGGGGTGTATGTGCATACATGCCCCAAATCCCAGTGGGATGGTGGGATGGAGAAATGAAGGAAAAGGAATTGTGACATGAGCTTGCTCCCATTAGAATACTCACTCACTCTCTCTCTGATTCTGTGTGTATATACCCTCTAGCAATAAAAAAGAAAGAAAGCAGACACATTAAGTCACCAGAAAATAAAGTTTAGGCAATAATATACTCTGGTTTTGTTTTCCTTCCTGGTGCCTCTTTGGACAAAGCATTATCATTTCCTCAATTATAAAGGCATTATTGTTCTACCTTTGCAAGTTTTCTGTAAATCTAAAACTATTCTAATTAATTTTTTAAGGATACAAACGACTGTGTGATGTTGATGTTTCTAATCAAATATTTGCAATTCTTCAGTCTCCAGCCACACAGTGGGATTGCACTTTCTGTAGTTGGCAAGGTCATGTGACCACTTCTGGTCCTTGAATTGGGGCTCAAAGTATTTCCTGGCATAGCAGTTATCTGTTGCTATACTACACCAATTTTCTTTGGCCATAATGATTGATAATAGTCTATATAGTGGATATTCCACCATCTTGGCTCTTGAATAATGATGAAGGAACAAAGAAAATTCCCAGCTGACCATCAATGGACATATACACGACTAATGAATCTTGGGACCAGCAAATGGCATAATGGTTACATTGCTGAACTCCCATACAGTCGACTGCAATTCGAGTCTCAGACCAGTGGCTTAAAACTCGTGCCAGGCCATGTGCATGCAGTCCCAAGATCTTGAGAGGAAAATGGAGGAGAAGGGATTGTAGCATGGCCATCTTTGACGGGATGGTTTCTCGCTTTCTGCCTCTGTGTCTCTGTCTCTCTGACAAGCACACACACCCTATGGCAAAAATATCTCTCTGTTTCTTTCTTCCTTCCTTCCTTCCTTCCTTCCTTCCTTCCTTCCTTCCTTCCTTTCTTTCTTTCTTGTTTTTTTCTTGGTAGAGATTTTTGCTATAGGGCACATGGCGCTCACCAGAAAGACAGAGACAGACAGAAAGTGAAAAATCACCCCCCGGGGGGGATGGCAACGCCACAATCCCTTCTCCTCCATTCTCCTCTCTGGATCTTGGGCACACATGCGTGCACCCAGCGTGAATTTAAGCCACCAGGTCTGGGACTTGAACTGCAGTCAACTACATGGGAGTCCAGCGACAGAGTCATTACACCAACTGCTGGTCCTGAATCTTTATTTTTCAATCCACTGATTTGAGAGCTATTCTTTCTCTTGGCACAACTGAGCATATGCTGATGGAATAGGCCAAGACTTTAGGTAAAATGATGAAAATGATGAAGTCTAAGTTTATTTGAGTGTTTTGTGTGCCTGTGCATGTGTGTAGTTTATTAAATGGGTCCTTACTTGCTGCTTAATATAAGTTTCTTTTTGTCCCAAAGACCTCAGGTTAACATCCATTATTCTAGAGTGTTTCATCATAGCTCTGCTTTTCATTAAGTTCATGAGTTCATGTAACAGATTGTACGGTCACACCTGGGCTCCTACACACTTCTAGAAAATATATTAGACTTTGTGGTACACATTTTGTGTACACCTCTTAAAATAAATCTTCCTGTATTTTCCTAACTTCATTTTGCATTCCTTCATTTTTCTAATTTATTTTAAAATGTCTCCATTTTGTTGTAATGTATGCACCTTTTAATCTTCACTGGGAAATAAGCTAATTTAAGTTCTGTATGTTAAAAAATCATTTTATTAATAAGTATTTAATTTCAAACCATTTTTAAAAAATAATTTAAAATAAATGTTTATTTTTAAATATGCTTGAAGAATTATAAATGGCTTTCTCTCTTTGAGTACTGTTACATGACATCCATTTAATATAATTGCCCTTTAGATTTCAGAAAAAGAGCCTCTTCTAGTGACTGATTAGTCCTGAGATTAACTATATATATGCTATGAGAGTTATGTTATTCAGAACCTTTACATGTAAGCAACAGAGGTAGATTCTGGATGTGTTAAGAAGTAAATAAAATTAAGAAGATGTCCAGTAACTCATAGAATCTGTTCAAGAGTTTGAAGCACGGCAGATATACCAAACCCCTAACCTAGAATCCTCTTCAGTAAGGAAACATCTTTAACTGATTGACCCTGCAGGCATATAGGAAAGGTTCTTATTCCTTAATTCTTCACTTAGTAGCTCCTGAATCAAACGTTGACATAAATATTCCTGACTGATATGTTAAGTGTCTGTGTTCTGCTACAAAGAAAGGCGGAAAAGCAGGGACCAGCAGTTAGCGTAATGGCTATGTCGCTGGACTCCCTCATAGTCGACCACAGTTCGAGTCCCGGACCGGGTGGCTTAAAAATCACACCGGGCACGTGTGCGTGTGTGCCCAAGATCCCAAGAGGAGAATGGAGGAGAAGGGATTGTGGCGTGGCCATCCCCCCTGGGGGGTGATTTCTCGCTTTCTGTCTCTCTGTCTCTGTCTGGCGAGTGCACACGCCATATAGCAAAAACCTCTTCAAAAAAAAAAAATAAATAAAGTTGGAAAAGCAAAACATCTAGCATTTTCAGCTCCTGTAGTGGAAGACAGTCTTTGTTCCATAATGACAAGACATATTAATAAGGAATTAAATATTCCCTGACCTTCTACTAAGGATTTAGATGCTAAACCAGAATGAATGATGAATCAAAATAATTTCTAGTTTAGGCAAATAAATTAAACACACAAATGCAAGTGATCATTTAAGTGTTGCATATATGCAGCTTTAATCTCCCATGTGGCCAAATATTTATAGACCATTCATCCCTATGCCCCTAGACCACAGCTACAACTTAAAAATCTAGCTACATCTTTGGTATATTGTGGTTTTGTTTCTCCAGTGGTTCCCATTTGCCAGACAGTCATGACCCAAAGTTTAACATGGTGACTACCACTTTCAGGGAATTCTATCAGAAGAATCCTCATTTGCAGCACGATAGCTGTTGGCACTCTTTCACTGACAGTCCATCCATCCAGACGTTTACCGTGGTTGGCCAAGGAGGCCTGCTTTGGTTGCCAGGGCTTCATTCTGCTGAATATGATATTCCTGAAATCATGTAGATATTCTTTGTGTCATTTTTAGATACTCTGTAAGCAATGTTCTGAACAGGTGATCTCTTCAGGTTTTACTTCTCTTAATACAAAGTCCTTAACGCAGTCCAAAAAGCATGTTTCTATAAGTTTATTGTAGGTTCCAAGAAATTCCTTCAACTGTTTTATCTGATCAGATTCTGGTATTTGTTTAGCCATATTCTTGAGGTATATTTATCAGTTACCTTTTCTGATACATGAGTGTCCTTTGCGTTCTGGGAAAGTAGCTGTCCAAACTTTGCTTGACTATCTCCAGTGAGGCCTATTTTCTTTTCTTTTTTCTTTTTAAAGAATTATTAATTTAATTTTATTTATTCCTTCATTTATTTTCATTTGACCAGAGAGAGACACAGAAAGGAGGTAAAGTGAGAAAGCAAGCCACCAGGTCTGGGACTCAAACTGTGGTCAGCCACATGGGAGTGTGCAGCACCTCAACCACTACACCACCTTCTGGTCCTGAGGTCTGTTTTCTTACTGAAGCACAAGCTCTTGTTTCTGACACCAGCACAAGGCTGGGGGCTGTACCTTGGGTGGAGTCCAGGAGCCGTGTTAGTCCAGGTCATGGCGGGCGCTGCAGTCACTGGATGGCCCAGTCCACTCATATGTAATGTTTCTATTGATATTAACTGGGTTCATATCTGCCATTTTACATTTGGTTATCTATATATTTTAAGTCTTTTTTTTGATCCTTTCTTCTCCCTGACTATTCTTTTGCATTAATTGAATTAATACTTTAATTCCTCTAATCAATTTTTCACTATTTTAGTGTATTTTTTTAATTTTTTTAAATTTACCAAAGTGCACATGTAATCACTGAAGAAATAGAGTGAAAACATCCCCCAAGGGGCAGTGTCATGCTATAATCTCTTCTCTTCTCTATCTCCCTTCTCTCATGATTTTAGATACACACACCCACACATACACACACACATGTACCTGGTATATTTCTCAAGTCATCAGGTCCAGGACTCAAAGTGTGTTGAGCCCCAAGTGGGATCCAGTTGCCTTAATCACCATGCCACTGGCTGTCTCTATTTAATTTTTTTAATGGCTCCTCTAGATTTTATTATATACACTTGAACTTATGAGATATACTTATAAAAGTGTACTTCAGTTCATACTAACCTAATTGCAATAACATGTAGAAATATTGTTTATATTATTTTATTCTTATTCCCTCTTTTTTGTGCTATTTTTATTACATATTTTAAATCTAGGCATGATTTTCTTCATGCAATGTTTCAAATAAAGTCTGTTTTGGGGGAAAGCTTGGAGCACACTCTTACTCTCTTAGATCTCCTGTGCAGTACCTCTGTATCACTGCTGTAAAACCATGGGCTGAACAGTGATCCTGTTCTTTCAAGGGATATATATCTGCCGAAAGAGCAGGGCAATAGGATAGGGCAATATCCTGTTCACCACATCAAAGAATCAAACTGAGCAAGTCATAAAAATGAATGATGTTGATTTTCACTCAACACCCTAGCAACCACTGGATCACTGGTCCATAATAGTTTACAAAAAATCTATAGGATGCACACAACCTATCTTGCTTTATGTAAGAAAAAGTCAGCTGCAATATCCTTTCAAACTTTTTATCTTGCCATGGCATACTTCACACTAAGCCTCTCTGTTAGGAAGCTTTGGGAATGCAACATAAACCTCACATTTATACCCAGAAATGAAGATATCCTGTAATAATCTAGGAGTGTGACATCAACTCTAAACATTGAGTCACATTTTTTGTAAAGTAGCTTTTAAAGTCTTGACCAATTAATATATTGCCTCATACTTACTGGATATTTGGCAAAAATCTAGTTTTGCCAACAGTGGTAGCAATGATTTGACTATTCCCTAAACTTTGTTCATATTAGAAACAGAACAGTAAGCATGTTTACAGTATTACAGTCTTTTGGATGATTGATACAATTTTATAAGGCTCTAACCAACCTCCCTGTCAGCAAATTTAATAAATACACCATCATACCTCATTAGTTATGACTGAAACTGTAATGGTGTACCAGCCAAGGACTGGTCCCATAGAATTACATTTTATCTCCTCTGTTTTTTCAGTTGATAGAAAACTATTGATACATTACTAGTAATAACACGTTAACCAGTTGTGCATTCTCTTGGCACAAATAATTCTCATGGATTCTGAATAAACTGATCTAACAACTTTCAGTATTACCAAAAATTGAGAGTTTCCAATAGGTAATTGGTCCAAGGAGATATATTTTAAACATTATAATCTAGAGATCACTTTGTGTTTAGAAATTGCATTAATTAAAACATCAGCTTCTCTTTGTAGAGTTCCACTTTCATCCCTAGACCCAGAAGAAACCAATTTAATCCATGGAGGAAAAAAAACAGGTTTATCATAGATGATTCAGGTAGACTATTGATGACATACAGATCTCATTGTAAGCCAATCATATCAGATTACTACTAATTTTCTAAAATATTATATTGAGATATATTACATCTGAAGATATATATGGAATCAGTAACAAAAGGTATGACATGATTCAGAGAATCCACCAGGAGCTTAGGAGAGAAGAAAGACAGTAGTCATGCCATCTATCAATATATGTCATCAACAAGGATCTAGATCCAATAACACTGATGCTGCTTTCTGACATATGGCACTATGCTTAACAACACTGCCATTATCTAGGTCATATTTCTCCATAGGGTGCCAGTCCTTATAAAGTCAAATTTCTTCAAAAATATGAAATGTATAATATTAATATGATACAATCCATTCTGCTGCTCTTAGTTTATCTTACTTCAATTATGTTTAAGCTGTACACATTTTGGCACTGTTTGCCTGTGAATAAGAAAACTTCTTAACCAAGTGTTTTAAACACTAACAAAGCCAACCAAGAAAATAAGAGATGCTTCTCTTTTAACTGATGAATAAACTGAGGAGCACTGCCTGGATGAGGTGCTGGAGATAATGAGTTTTCATGGTTATCTATGCAAGAATATCTTAATAGAAATTCAAAAGAAAATATATACATACATCATAGGGCACAGTGTATCTGTATGTCAGTTCTGTCTCTTTGTGGTTGCCTATTCCTTTATATAAATTTAGCAGTAGAGATATTGAAGATACTACCAGCCAGGTGAAAGAATGGAAGACTCAAGCCCTCATACTCCCATGGATATGCCAATTTTGATAACCATCTGTGGGAACACTAGAGATTATAATACACTCTTCAAGAAAAAGCTAAAATGAATTTAATAGAGTAAAAAAAAGTTTAATTTACTTATATTATCCCTCCTTCAAGGCAGTACAACTCAGTATCAAGAGAGATCCTCCTCACTTTGTGCTTTGATTTGTCTGACAAGTGAAAGTTGGTACAGAATAAGCATCTAGCTTCACCAACTTCATAGGACACTGCCCAAGATGCCCACTTCTGTCTCACTCTACCCAGATCACTGAGGAGACAGAAATGGCTGAAAAGTTGGGAAGAACTTGGAGCAGAAAAAAGGGGTGAAGCTCATGGCAACCACTTCATGGATTAAAAACGATCTGCATGTTCTACCACTGGCTTACAAACTCCATCAAGAGGCCCACCCAGGAACCCAGTAAGATGCTTCCCCTGAACACCTCAAAACTAACCAAGAATAAAAGGCAAAATTGCCAGACACCAGGCTGCCTGTGGCTGTAGGCTCTAATGGCCGGGACCCTTGGCTAATCCCTGCCCCTAACTCATCTTTGGGCTTCGGATTTGTTTCTTGGGACTTTAAGACAAACTTGGACCCCTCCCCACCTTATTGGGAGACCTGTTCAAGCCAGCAGCATTGCCGGACACCAGGGTGCCTGTGGCTGGTGGTCCCAACAGCC